TCCTTCCCGATCTCTTGAAGAGTTCTGTATATTAATCTTTTGTATCCTGCCTCTGGTAATTCCAAGAAATTCTCTTCCTCTGGAAAATTCCTTGATTCTTTATTTTGGGAGCTTGCTGAAGCCATCATGGTCTGCCTCTTTATGTGATTTGATATTGACTGTTGTCTCCAAGCCATCAATAAGTTATTATATTTATTTATTTTATGCTTGCTTACAGTGTCCTAGCTTCTTGTTTTGTTTTGATATGCCCAAATAGGCTGTTCATGTGAGCTAGTCTGATCACCGGCACCCCTGAAGCTCCAATGTCCTGCCTCCAGGTGGCCAGACCTGCCACTAAGTATGTGAGCCCAGGAGTCCTCCCACTCCTCCTGTATGGATTCAGCTCAGGTGTCCAGGTAGTTGGCCACCAAGCGTGTGGTACAGACTCTCATTTACAGTCCTAGACAGGCATGGGTGATTGGTGTAGGCACGGGCATCTGGTTGCAGCAGGGAGTCACACGCTGAGCAATGCAGGGGGCCAACGGCCGCCCCTGAGTGTCCGGGAGAACCCCAGACTTTTAAAACTGAATGTTTTGTAGACATTATCCCCTGGAAATGTCCCACAGGGACCTCAGTCTCAACAGATCCAAAATGGAATTCTCTACCTCCACTCGCCCCTGACACATACCTACCACCAAACCTGCCTCTCCTCCTCCTGTGCTTTGTTTAGACCAGTGGTTCTCAAACTGGGTGGGCAGCACCTGGAGGGCTTATTAAAACAAATATTGCCAGGCCCCATTCCAGAGTTTTTGGTTCAGTTTGTCTGGATGGAGCCTGACAATGTGTATTTCTAACAGATTCCCAGGACCACACTTTGAGAACCATTGGACTAGTGAACGCGTCACTAGCCCATCTTCCCTTTCGTCACCTGAATGTTCTATCAATGATCATATCCTGTACTTTCCTCCTTCCAGGCATTTCTTACCTCTGTCCCCTTCTCTGTAGCCACCTCCTCACACTCTGGCCCTGCCCCAGCTGGGGACCAGCCTCTAAACTAGCTCCCTGCCTCCTCTTTCTGTCTCTCCCTTTGGCATGTGGGCCCTGGAGCTTAGGAACTTTATCTTCCTCAGTGCTAAATTCACAGTGCCTGGCACAGTACTTCACACATCGTGGGTGTTCAGTAAATATTTGTGGAAGGAAGGAGGGAGACAGGCAGGGAGAGAGGAAAGTAATTTTTGCTCCAGTCCATGCTCCACGCAGGCTGCTAGAGTAATCTTTCTAAAACACAGAAACACATATTTGATCATCACATCATGCCTCTACTTAAAATATTTCAGTGATTCCCCATTGTCTCCAGGATGATGTTTGAACTTCTTGCATGACATTTCAGGCCTTTTGAGCTTTGGTCCCAGCCTTCCTTTCTAGCCTTTTCTCCCTCTGCTCCTCCTGCACACATCTGACATCTCAATTCACTGACCAACCACTTGCTTTTCCCTGAACATGCTACACTGCTTCCCATCCTTGCCTTTGCATCTGCTGTTCCCACTGCCTAGACTGCCTTCTCCTACGGTTGTACCTTAGTCTATCCTTCAAGCATAGCTCAAATGCCACTGCCTAGAGAAGGCCTTCTCCAGCTTCTCTGCCCACAGCTATCTTCCCTGTGCACCCTAGGACAGCATTATTACACTGTTAAGTTCCACAAAAGCAGAAAAAAAGTAACAGCAGCTCACACTTATTGACCACTTACTATGTGCCAGGCACTGTGCTAAGGACTTGGCATAGATTATCTTAGTTCATGCTCACATCAGCCCTTTGAGGTATGTGCTATTACTCCCCCTCACCCCCATTTTACAGAAGTGAAAACTGAGGCTTGGAGAGGTTCAGGTAACTCGCCCCAGGTCATCCAGCCAGGAAGTGGAAGAGCTGGGCCTTGTTCACCACTGTGTGCCCAGGACCTTAACCCAGGGGTGCAACACATCAATGGTGCTTGTGATCATTTTTTGAATGAGTGAATTCTAGCAGGCAGTATATTTTCTTCAACTTTGTATCCCTGTACCAGGCAGATAATAGAGACTAATAAATGTTTTTGGAACAAATGAATGGATGATGGATGGATGAACAAATGAATGACATGAACTGCTTGTTCACCATAAGAATGAATTTAAATTTATCCCTATAAGTGTCTCGATGCCATGTGGTGAACGGTTGAAGGGAGAGGTAGAACTGAGTGACCCAGGGTAGTGTGCAAGCTGGTGACGGGTTTGGGTTTATTTTAAAATCTTTGCTTATTCAGAACCTACTTGTTGGGTAGTCCAAACTGATAACATTCTCCTCTTATGCATTATCAGGGGTTTGGCAGGAGAAAACGTTTGAAAACAACTTCCAACAGCTCAGGACCTTCTCCAGCCTTAGCCCCAGTCCAGCCCCAGCCTTAGCCCCACCTGGCTGGCATTCACCATGGTCAGGAGAAGGGTGTAGGGCAAAGTGGTTGATGTTGAGAATGAGGCTTCTGGAGTCACACTGCCTGGGTTTGATTTGGCTCTACTAGTTATTGGTTGTGACCTTGGGTAGTCACTTTGCCCCTCTGAATCTCAGTTTCCTCATCTGTAAAGGGTGGAGAAAAAAAGCAACCACCTCATAGATGAGGATTCAATCCTCAGAGTGAGGATTCAATTAGACAATCCATTCACAGTTCCCAGCACACTGCCTGGCACCATGGCACGTGTGCCAAACACTCTGTTCTGTTTCATCATCAAATGATCTTATCTTATTAGAGTCTCACAAAAACCTGTCAACCAGGCAGGATGGGGATTATTCCCATTTTACAGATGAGGAAACCAGAGGCCAAAATAGGAAAACGGCCTTCCTTCATGGGTCAGACAGCAAACAAGTAGCAGAACTACAAGGCTCCTCAGGAGTTAGTCCAAAATCCAACTTAGGTTCACCAAACGCCATCTACTGACCAAGGCGAGGAAGTGGCCTGAGACATAGAAAATGCACAGCTTCGGAGGGGTGGGGGGTCCTCAGGAAGGATCTTCAGGTTCTCCTTCAGACATACAGTAAGATTCACCAGCATAGCCCCCATTGTTATCGATAATCAAATAATACCATCCCTCCTCTGACCCCCTTCCATGGCTAAGATGGTCCAGATAACGGAGACTCAGGGATTCTACCTCCCACATGATTCAGTTTGGAAAACTGAGGTCTGACTGTATTTCCTATGGCAACTAATGTACTATAAAGAATTTGACTGTATGTCCCATGCCTGGTGAAGCAGGGGGCAGATGAGGTCTCCCTGAAGCTCCAGGGTGATGTTAGCTTGTTATCTGGCTATTTTGGAGGGAGAGGGGGTTGGTCAGAGGGAGGGAGGCCTCCTGGGTCCTACTTACCATGGTGGTTGATATGGTCTCCGTGGTGATGGAGGGGGTAGTTGTTATGAACTCCTTCCCTCCTGGGGCACTCCCATCAACCTGCAGGCCAGAGGAGGGGTTGTTAGAGGTGAGGAGAGCCAGATCCATCCTGGAGGTATCTGTCACCTAGGCTCACGGCATTCTCAATCACAGACAAACTGATGGGCTACGTGAGTGCACTGAAGATGGCGGCATACCACACACTAGAGGGCCTCAGAGCTCTGCCAGTTTATTTCAGCCATCTGATTTGACAAAGGAAAAACAATCCTAGACAATCTGGCAAATTCTATCCAAATTTAAATGCATAAAGGTCACAGCCTTGAAAACCCTATGGAGCAGCTCTACTCTGCACACATGGGGTTGCCACAAGTCAGAATAGACTCAACAGCAACTAACAACAACACCAATTCTTTGACCTAGCACTCTCATTGCTAGGAATTTACTCTTTGGATGTAAACTTTGAAAAATCTACCAAAAAGTATGAAAAAGGAAGTTCACTGCAGCACTGATCATTAACTGCAAAAAACAAAAGCCACCACAACGTCCACCAATGGGAGATGGACTAAAGAAATTAAGATTCACCTCCGAGGTGGGACTAAAAAGAATAAAGTAGATCTATACCTACTAAGGAAACCCTGGTGCCATAGTGGTTAAATAGTGCTAACCAAAAAGTGGGCAGTTCGAATCTGTCAGGCACCCCTTGGAAACTCTATGGGGCAGTTCTACTCTGTCCTATAGGGTTGCAATCAACTCGATGGCAACGGGTTTGGTTTTGGGGTTATAGCTACTAGTGGAGCCCTGGTGGAGCAGTGGTTAAGAGCTCAGGCTGCTAACCAAAAGGTTGGCAGTTTGAATGCACCAGCTGCTCCTTGGAAACCTAATGGGGAAGTTCTACTCTGTCCTATAGGATCACTATGAGTTGGAATCGACTTGACAGCAATGGGTTTTTTTTAAAGCTACCAATAGGAATCTCTAAGATAATTATTATAATCTCTAAGATAATTAAGGATTTCTAAGATAATTATTAAGGGAAAAAAATCAAGTCACAAAAGAGTGTGATCTCTTGTGTAAAACTATTAAATATACAGAGATGCAGGTGTATATATATATATATATATGTTGCTATATGCATACATTTTTTCTGGGAGGAATCTTAAGAAAATTTTCATTATTTTCTGTTTGAATTTCATAACTGTGAATATTTTTATTTGTTTTGATGTCAATAAGGGCCCCTGGGCTGTGGGGTTTAGGGTCATTTTTTAGTTTTCTTCTTTGTATGTCTCTATATGAAAACAAAACAAACACCAACATATGCTACTAAAATAAAACAGGCCAGAGAGGGGAAGCAGCTCGCCAGTGGTCACACAGCCCGTCAGTGGTCACACAGCCTGTCAGGACTCAAGAGTCTTGACCAGGCAGCCTATAAAGCCCGTATGCATGTTATAAAAGTGGAAGAAAAAAAATCTGGAAAGGACATAGTTGCCCACATGTGGTTGTTTATTTCTTACTTCAGTTCTTGAGACAATGACTGGGCTCCACGGCAAGAAAGCCGCCAGCACTGAAGCTGTTCTGGCCAGGAAGAACCAAGATGGCATCTATCAGACCCACAATCTCAATTTTCAAGTTTAAAAACACAAAAGGAACTTAGGAAATACACTGTAAGAATTGCACCTGTATTTATTTATGACTGCTTTCTCCAAGGTGGTAAGTATGCTTCTTCTTGCTAAGACAAAAGATATTTGGCTTTCAGTTTGTTTATTTTGCCAATCTGATGTGGAACCCCCATGCATATAAAATTATACAAGGTGAGTTGTTCTGACTAAAGCTGGATTGGGGATTGCTCCCTCTTCCCTCCCAAAGAATCCCCTGGGTACCTCAAGAAACCTCCCTGGCTCCTAATCCACTAGACCTCACAACACTCCCAGGAGAAAGTGGAAGATGATCATCTCCATTTCATAGACAGGGAAATTAAGGCTTTAAGAGGTTGTAGTTTGCCCAGGATAAGAAACCAGCTCCCCTGCCCCACTCCCCGCTGAGAGCCCAGGGAGAACCCTGAGGCTCAAAAGAGTATCAGGGTTAAAATGTGGTCTCCAGAGGAGCTAAGGTGGGAAAGGTTAGCCAAGGGGCCTGGCCACAATGGTGGGAACCCACCCTCAAACACTCAACACTTGTGCTCAGGGATGGGAACTCATAGATTACCTGGGTGGTGTCCACAGTGGTGACCCTGGTCTGCAGTACAGCCTCTGGCTCGATCTTCTTCCTGATGGCCAGGCTGCTGACAGTCATGGTTTCTGTTTTCACTGGCTGTAGGGAGATGAGAAAGAATATTCCATAACTCAAGCTCTAGCATGATTCCTGCTTACAAGCAATTGTGGTGTAGGGTCAGGAAGTTCTCTCCCATCAGCACAGTTGGCCAAAGTCTCCAGAAGGGTATGTGAGTCGGGGCTACAGAGGCATGGGGTGGTGCTGTAGACAAACAACCCAACAGGAAAGCCAGAACTACCACCAGCACCCGGCTAGCTCTGCCCCATGACCTCACACCACACAACTTCATGACAGTTACATGCTGTTTTTTTGAGGCCACTATTAGAAGACCAGTTCCTGTATCCAATTAATATACTCTGTTCCAGGCCCCACATTACTGTCACTGAATCCTGAATGACTTCAATGGCTGTGCCACCACCTCCCCATTGCTTCATTTGAATTGTTCTTTAGAGCAGGAGCCACACGCTTGGATGCCTACAGGAGCTGGGCAGGAGATGTAAAGGAGTAAGGTCGACTTGTTGAGGACCAGGGTGAATGAAGAGCATGTCTGGTTCCACTCAGACTGGGCCAACTGCTGCCACTCAGGAATGCAGGTTCTGAGTGGCCAGATCTTCTGATTTTTTAATATTAAAAAAAAACCCTGGATTTTATGTCTGCCTTGAGCATTATGCTCTTTTAAGAACTACCTATATGGGATCACACTGACAACAGCAACTCGAAGAATTAGATAAGAACCTTAAAGGAAAGTGAGTTTATGTTAATGGAGGAAGAACAACTCAGAAAAGGAGAGTGAGAATGGTTGCACAACTCAAAGAATGTAATAAATGTCAATGAATTGTACAGGTAGAAACTGTTGCATTGGTGTATGTTTTACTGTGTATATTCTCAACAACAACAGCAAAATAAATGAAATTTTAAAAATAAATAAATCAAAAAAGTCTGGAATTTATATTCAATATGCTGATTTTTAAATCAGGGTCAAAGAAAACACATCTGCTGCCCAGATCTGGCCCAGAGCTACCAGTTTACAATCTACTCTAGAAGTCTTAGGTGAAATAATCAGTTTCTTCTGAGGCCTCCATTGGGCCTAGGTCATACACACTGCAGGTATTAACGTATCTGAGTTGAATGAATGAAAGTCTAGCTAGTCATCTGGTGGGATGGCAGTGGCGGGGGGAATTTATACAGATGGTTGTAACTCTAAGATCTATTGATTCTTTCCGTTAACCATCTTTTAAGTGCCTGGGATGTGCCAGGCCTCAAGCAAGGTGTGGTTCCTGGCTTAGAGGAGCTCCCACCTGGTGGGAGAGCAGACCTGTCAGCCAATAACCTGACTACTTTGGATAATGCCAGAGCTGAGGCATTAAAGAGGGAGGGGGTTGTAGAAGGAGGAAAACTTCTACCCAGGGTGGTCAGGAAAACTTATGCTATGGAACTGACATCTGAATTGTGTCCTAGAACATGACATGTTTCAAGGCAGAAAAAGAGAGAAAAAGCCTTATACGCAGAAGGTACAGCATGGAGTGAGAGCCCAGAGTGGAACAGCTCCTATTCCAGTGACTGGAACGTGGGGAAAACGAGAGTGTGGTGGGTGGTAGGCTGGGGCTGGAAACAATGTTTGAGCAAAGGAATGACGTGAACAAAGATGTGGTTTATAAAGATCCCTTTGCAGCTCTGTAGAGGAGGGACACAAAGCAGAGAGACCTAGACAGTCTATCCTGTGCCCCCTCAGTGAGACATTTCCTCTTCTCCAGGAGCTTCCACTATCACCCAAAGACCCTAGGGTCAGATGGATTGAAACTGCTGCCCCTTCCCCAGGAAGCCCAAGCCCTGCGGAGAGAAGCCTGGGCCTAGAACAGTAAAAACCATCCAACTTTCAGACTGAGTCACAGGAGCCCCCGACAGCCTACAAACACATGCTCTCTGTGGGTACCATGCAACACAGGCAGGGAGAAGAGGAGCAGTTGAGTAAGACCAGCCTGCTTCCCACCCTCCCACCCTGTCACCACTTGACCCCAGGCAAGCAATGGGATCACAGGGTTAAAACGCCAAGGAGTGCATATTATGGTTAAACCGACATGGCAAACATGCGAGCACAGAACCATGCTGTTCTGCGGAGGGGCAGTCATGCAACGTGAGACCAGGCTTCAGGATGCGGGAATCTAGGCTGCAGGCTGGCTGCTCAGTCTTCTCAGAGAGGGCCCAGGGCCCTCTGAACAGGCAGTGCAGGGAGGAGGCACATGGGGTCTCTATGATGCTCCACTGTACCTCAAACTGGGGCATATCTGGGGTGGAGCAGGCCCCTCGATCCGGGCTATCCTCGATTTCCACAGACTCGTCATCCTGGATGGGGACCCCCTTGCTGCGATCCCGGGAAAACACCAGGCCCTCAGTTTCTGAATCGCTTTTGTCTCGGTCAAGCTCAGGCAGGCTGCGGGAGAAGTCTTCAAAGGCGCTGCCATGGTAGTCGCCAATAACCGTGAAGTCCACCTCGGCCTCCAGGCTGGACGTGGAGCTGACTGTGATACTGGAGCACTTGCGTTCAATGGCCAGGTGGTTGTCCTTCAGGAACACGGCGTCCCTCTCCTGATCCTGGTCCTCGTCTCCTGTGTCGCTCTCTGGAGCCCTGGGACGTGATGGTTTGACTTTCTCCTCCGAGCCCTCCCTCAGCCCTGCTCTCTATGGCCAGATAAAATCAAAGGAATGGGGATGTGGGGTGGGAGGAGAGAGAGAAATCAAGATGGTGAATGTCAGAAGAAATCTTGGGGCCATGTCAAATGGAAAAGCAGGTCAGGAAAAGAAAAATGGCCCCAGGAAAGGTTCCTTAAAATCAAAACAAGCTGATAAAACCAAAAACTTCTCAAAGGTGGGAATGCTCTTTTCTGAGCATCCTGCCAGTTGAGGCACTGAGGGCAAAAGCAAGTACAAAGCAAACATCCTGCCAGTTGGCTCTGGACAGGAGGCTCCATCCAAGGTTTGGATCTAGGAGCTTATCAAAAGCAGCACTGTGCGAAAGGCAGGAATAGCAGCCTGGACTCCAGGCCCATCCTGTGCAGTTGGCATTGAGAAACAGAAAATAAGGAGGGAGACCCAGGGATTCAGGGAAACCCAGGAGGGGTAAGACAGAGAGGCTGGAGCCAAGAGCTTTGAGGGACAAAGAGAAAGCCAGTATGGTTTGTCAATTCCACTGAGTCTCTGTGGGATGGGTCAGCATCATTTAGAGGAAGGAACATTATGAGGTAAGGCCCTTTGGGCAAAAGCTCTCTGGGAGCTAGGTGGTACACCAATTCAACCGGGAGCTCCACAAGTGGGCCAGCAGGCAGGCCACACACTGGAGGTTCTGGTCCCATCAGTGTAATTGACAACAGCAGGTCAAGGAAATGCCTAAGGGGAACCAGCAACTCTTGTCCGACATACATACCTCTCAACTGGCCTGTCAGGGATTAAACACCACACACACACATTTTTTACTGGTTCATGGCATTGTTTTTTTAAAATTGATGTAACACCCACAACATATTTTAAAAGTACTTGGCTTCAGGTTCTGGAGATTTAGTACGCTTAGAGATTCACTTGCAAGGGGCACAAAGCCCTACTCGAGCCTCCCTGTAGCCAGTTTCTGGAAGGTTGAGAAGTGTGAGGAATACATTCCAGACAAGCCAGAGTTGAGCAGCCAGCCACAAGAGGCACTGCCAGAGGCAGGTGGGAATCTAACACAGCTACACATCCTTGCAGGTGAAGATGATTGGGTCATCAAGGCAGAGAGGAACTGCAGAGACCTGAGGGCCTGAGGGGCTGGCGAATCTCAGGTGCCCTCCCTTCCCAGGGGTGTCCACTGCTAAGCTGGTGAAGCGCTTCTCTTCCCTGATCGCATCTCCGGATTTGTTCTGGATTAGAGAAGATAGTTAGTCTTAAGGAGGCAGAAAGGAACTTGGCACTGGGACCAAGAGGGAACCAGAAGTGAAGGATAGAAACCTCTGGACTGTCAGCTTCCCCAAGGCAGGAGAACAAGGGAAGGGGAAGGATGAAGGAAGATCACTGGATAAGCCAAGCAAGACAGGTAGGAATCTAGCAGGTGGGAGCAGCAAGGCAAAGCAAGTGTGTAGTTGGCTGGCAGTGCTGCTGGCTTCTCCGCTGGAGTTGTATGGACCCTCCGGGCACCATGTCACACCAGAAGCTGGGGGTCTTTAGGGCCAGGCTAACATGGGTCAAGCAGATGAACCTGTCATTCAGCCTGGCAACACTCAAGCCCATCTCAGGAAAAGAACTCATAGGGATGGACAAGCAGCATCTGATTGCAGTAATGATGAGGGGCCACTGAAACATGCTTCTAAAGAACTACGTAGCATGCGGTCAGCTCCCCCAGGTGGGGGCAGTGGTGGGAGCTGGGGTTATGTGGCCAGTTACCCCAGCAGCTTCCTCCAGTGTGGTTTCACAGCCTGAATCAGGGGACAAGAGCTCTAGTTCCATGCATCTTTCCTGGTGGGATGTGGTAGAAACACTGTTCCCGAAGTATTTGGTAGCTAGAGGCATCATTGAACAATGTGTGACTTTAGGGCTGGCAAAGTCTCCTGGGGGCCGCAGCTGGATGAAGCCCAGGTCTAAAAACTTGTTCTGCTGTTGCTCTACCTGGCCTATGGAAGCCTTTGAAGACAACTCATTTGGAAAGGCCCCTGTTTCACCCCGACTCGCTCGGGGAGTTTCAGTTCCATGGATCTCAAACATCCTAATTTTGTTGGCCACTGAGGTCTTGCTAACATCTTCCAGGGAGCCTTCTTGGCTCCCAGCCTGGAAAGAGGTCATCTCCTTTTGCTTCCCTGAAGAGAACATCCATCCCAGGGGTATGGCCCCCTCAGCTTCTTCAGGGACAATTCTGGGCTTTCTGCTGGTGATGGGAGGTGCCCTGCGCTCACCCCCATCAGGAGTCACAACTAACCGTACTAGGTCCTTGGGATCAAGGCTCTGGTTGGGAGAATGGGCATGTTTGAGAAATACCGGGAGCTGTTCTCCAAAGGGATCCCTGAGCTCCGAAGGCTCCA